GACCGCCTGGCCGTGCCTGCCTTCGCGCCCCGGGACCGCTTCCACCGCTTCCAGCCCACCTACCCCTACCTGCAGCACGAGATCGACCTGCCGCCCACCATCTCACTGTCCGATGGAGAGGAGCCGCCCCCCTACCAGGGCCCCTGCACGCTCCAGCTGAGGGACCCCGAGCAGCAGCTGGAGCTGAACCGCGAGTCAGTGCGCGCACCGCCCAACCGAACCATCTTCGACAGTGACCTGATGGACAGCGCCATGCTGGGCGGCCCCTGTCCCCCCAGCAGTAACTCCGGCATCAGCGCCGCGTGCTACGGCAGCGGGGGGCGCATGGAGGGGCCGCCCCCCACCTACAGCGAGGTCATCGGCCACTACCCCGGCTCCTTCCAGCACCAGCAGAGCAGCGGGCCGCCCTCCCTGCTGGAGGGGACCCGGCTCCCCCACCCGCACATTGCGCCCCTGGAGAGCAAAGAGAAGGAGAAACAGAAAGGACACCCCCTCTAGGAGCCCGGGGCGGGCAGGGCCGCGGGGGGCGGAAGGCGAACACTCTGCACTTCCTAGACGAGAAGAGAGAGGCCTGGATGCCGCGTGTGACACCCACCTCTCCGTGTATAAATATTTACGTGTTCTGTCTGGTCTGAATGCACAAGCTCAGAAAGCTTGCAAAAAACAAAACACAAAACAAAACAAAAAAACCACGTTTCTTTGTTGAGCCGTGTCTTGAAGGCAAAGGGAAAAAAATTCTACAGTAGTCTCTTTTTTTTGTTGTTCTAGTTGAGCTGCGTGCGTGAATGCTTAATTTTCTTTTGTTAATGATGATTTCACTTAACTTTAAAGACATATTTGCACAAAACCTTTGTTTAAAGATCTGCAATATTATATATATATAAATATATATAAAATGAGAGAAACTGTATGTGCGAGGGCAGGAGTATTTTTGTATTAGAAGAGGCTTATTAAAAAAAAAGTTGTTTTCTGAACTAGAAGAGGAAAAAAATGGCAATTTTTGAGTGCCAACTCAGAAAGTGTGTATTACCTTGTAAAGAAAAAAAATTACAAAGCAGGGGTTTAGAGTTATTTATATAAATGTTGAGATTTTGCACTATTTTTTAATATAAATATGTCAGTGCTTGTTTGATGGGAACTTCTATCGTGTGAGGGAAAAAGGCCGAGTGTGGGAGTCAGGTCAGGTAGAGGAAGCCCGCTGCCCAGGCTCCCTCCCGGGCCGCCTCCCCAAGCCAGGGCCTCTGTCTGGAGCTGTACATTCCCTGCCCAAGGGAGGGGATTCGCGTTTCCCTCCGGCCGAAGAGCCTTTGGGATTCAGAGCAATCCAAAGTCACCCCTGAGGAACCAGGGTCCAGGTGGTGGTTTTCGCCTTTCCCAAAATGAAAATAAACGGTTACCGAAGGAATCCTAGCTTTTCTTCCTCTTTCATAAGCTGCTGCAGCCGCAGCCGGTGATTGGGGGACAGGCCGGCGCGGCAGGTGCCCGTTGGCGCTAAAGGCTTGGGGGTGACTCAGCCGACCTGGCGCGTAGGCCAGGCCCACGGTCTCAGTCTTGACCTCGTCCCGGGGCCTTTTATGTCTCGATTTTCTACAATAAACAGCTGATCCAAGATGAGGTGACAAGCCCAGGCTTCCCCCGGGATATGTGAAAGTTAATTCCGAAAAGAAAAAAAAGCAAAACGCCCAAACCAACGTACACCTGTGCTTCCGCTTTCGCTGATTCCCCTACCTTCTGCATCTCTGCGCCGTGTCCTCCCCGTGCTCTGGACACAGTTGTGTGTGATGTGTTTGTCTGTGTTTCTCGGTTTCTGCTGAGTGGATTTGCCATGACTGGGCCCCTGTGGTGCTGGCATGTAGGTGGCAAAGCAGAAAAGGGCTCATGAAGATAGAGGTGGCAGGGAGAGAGCCAGCGTGGGGTCCCCTAGGACAGGCAGGGACTGTGGCTGCAGCCGAGGTCTTCCCTCCCGCTGTTGACCTGGAGGAGCCCACGGAGCGGTCCTCACTCTCCAGAAGGAGCGGGGCGCGTCCGCCTCCTCCAGGGGCCAGAGCTCACTCTGGGCAGAATGCTGTTACTTAAAAATAAATACCACCCGAAAACAGCTCTGCGGTTCTGACAGCTGGACCTCTGTGTGTTCACTCTAAGATCCCCGTGACCAGAGGAGCACTCCCTAGGTGTGACAAGAAGAACCGGCCTTTCCCAGGGGTTTTCACCCGGAGTCCGCTTCCCTCTTGAAGAGGAGTCTTTCCAGAAGTCAGAATAGCTTGTCCCAAAGGGCCCAAGGAAGCATTTTCCTTAAGTGTCCCTTGCTAAAGACACAGTCACTCGTGTCAGGGTGGGGGCGTCCCTGGCACTGCCTCGCTCTCTGGGCCTGGCGTCCCCTCCCACAGTCACAGAGGGTCACTGCTTCCCCGTCACCCTCTCGGCTCCCCCCACCCCAGGGAGGCGACCCCTCTGCTCCTACCCAGCGTGCAAGTCCAGGGTCCCAGGGCTCGTGTCCCACAGTGGCAGTTGCAGAGGTTTGGGGGGGCTTGTTACCTGCAGGGCGCACCCGCAGTGAGCTGCCGGGGTGCCTGCTATCTGAAAGCTGCCACTGGAGCTGAGCTCTTGGCTTCTCCTCAGGACCCCACATCTCCAGATGCAGGCTGGGGTGTTGCTGTCTTTCGAAGTATCCTTCAGGACCCCCCTTATCCAGCAGGAAGTGAGATGGGGTCCTGGGAAGTGGCTGGTTGGAGGGGGACCAGTTGATCCATCCGGGGCTCAGAGAAAGTGGCGGAACTTGGCTCTGCACACCCCTCCCTGTGTGCCCTGCCTGTCAGCCCCCACATTTCCTACGGTGCACGGGAGCTGCTTCTGCAGAGCCCTGGTCTACGTGAGCAGGCTTAGCAAATTGCATACATCTTTTCAGAAGCCCAGAGTTTTGGCAAAAAGCTAAAAGTGACCCCTTTGACCATGTGGGGAAGGGCACAAACCAGATCCATTTCCCTTTCCGTGTGCGGGTCCCATCCCCCTGAAGTGTATGCCTCAGATCATTTTTTTCCTATGTGCAACAGAGCTCCCAGAACCCTGAACCCCGCAGGGACGTGCAGAGAACACGCTTTGGGTTCTGGCATGTTTTCTGTGCTCAGAGTGTCTCTCTGCCATGGAGCTCTGAAGGCTGGCGCCGCCTTCATTTCTGCTGCCTGACCCACAGCTGTCTGTCTGTCTGTCTGTCCTCTGTCGCGCTGACTGCACCCGCTTGCACGTTGCCTCCGGGGCATTAGAACGCTCTCTCCCCTGGTCCTGTACCCCAGTTCTGTTCAAGTCCATCTTCTGTAAGTTCCCCAGGCTGCCCCTGTGGAGACGCTGGGTGCCCCTGCACAGGCCTGAAGAAACTGCTTGTTTTGTATCAGTAATCATGAGTGGCAATGATGACATTCTGAAAAGCTGCAATACTTATACAATAAATTTTACAATTCTTTGGAATGAGGCTTTTCCCCTTCTTTGGCTGTGTTGCCATTCTCCCCTCCAGACCCCCGTCCGCTGCCCCCCTACAGCCACCGGATGCTTTGGGCGGAAGGAGCCCTGGAGCGGCCGTGTGGGCTCCATGGTTCAGCTGCGCTCTCGCTCAGGCAGAATTCAGGGAGCCCAGGGGAAACAGTTCCTCTGCACACGGCTCCGGGAAAAGGAGCTTGCAAAGCATGGCATAGTTCTCTCTCTCTTGAAATCACCATTTGCCGCAGTGTAAGGAAAGTTCTGGGAAGGTCTGCAAAGCAGGGCTGAATTGAGGCTGTGTCTTCCCCGGGGAGGAGGACAGAGGCAGAGGAGGAGTAGAGCAAAGGAGGTTCTAGGCCAAGTCCCACTTCAGCCCCACCCGCAGGGGGCCTTGGTGCAGAGGCGTGGGGCAGAGGAGTCCCTCCCGGATGTCAGCCCTGAGCAGGGAGCTGTGGGAGCCCAGAGGGGGGGCACAGAGCCTTGGAGGGCCCTAGGGGACCTGAGTGGCGCTTGTGGTGCCCATACAGAACTGTCTCATGTCTGACCAGAGCTTTAAGAACCCCAGCCAGTGATGGAGGCGGAAGCCGGAGGACAGCCACTGTTTGGCCTCAGCCCGGGGGTTCCCTAAGCTTTTGAACCACAGACCTGGCCCGAGAAACATTGCAATGCTTTGAGAAACACTGGCTGAAGTCAACAGCCCATTGAGTGAGGGCAGAACTCTGTACTGGTCCTGCCTTTCCTGTGCCCTATTCCGGTGGAAGCGAACCTCAGACTGCAGGGAACCAGGGAGAAACCCAAAGAGCTCCTCACTCCTCCTTGGAAGCCAGGACCACACCCTGTTTTCCCGCTGGCTGGAGCTTGAGCTACTTGCTGGGACCATGCCCCTTGCGGGCACCCTGTGGACTGGGTGCCTACAGTGCCTGGGAGATGCTTGCTCCTGGTGTCCATGGTGCCTACAAGCAGCCCCCCATGGTGCCTGGCACACAGACGCCAGCCACTCTCGCCAGTCACTTGGGCTCCTAGTGGCTTCCATGCTTAAGCAGGCACCCCCAACCTGCTGGACCAGCTTGGACCCTGAGACACGGATGAGGGCAGAGCAGGGGGCCCTGGCCACTGGGACAGACAGCTGCCCAGCTCTGGGACGGTGACAGCGTCAGAACAGCGGACGTTCTCGAGGCACCTTCTAGCTTCTTCCTGAAGTTGGCAGCTCCTGGTCAGGGAGGTCTCCTCTTTCCTCGGCTATTTTTTTGAGCATGGCTGGGTGCCAGGCACAGCTGGCCTCTGGGAGACACCAGCACTCTGTCCCGCCCCTGACCTCGGAGAACTTCTAGAGACAGACTCGCTAACTCCTCCCTCGGCCGATTCAGTGAAGGCAAGGAGAGCTGGCTGTCGGAACCGGTGGGCACCGCGCAGGGGTGGATTTCCGCTCAGGCACAGGCTCTCCTTGACTTAGGTCACAATGCTGCGGGCTGAGAGTGTACCCCAACCCACAGGACCCCTAGCTCAGCCTGCCTGGCTTCTTCTTGCTCACAGCTGGGCAAAATCACCTAACACCAGGCCTACTGCATAATGAAATCCAGGGCCCATTGCCTGGGTGAGGGGGTGGGGCTTGGCTCAACTCCTGCACCATCCTGCAGGGTGGTCCCCGGTGGGGACAGGGAGCCCCTCACTCCTGTGTGTGGGCTGGGGGCCCAGCTGGGCTGGCTTGGTGGGCAGGAGGAGCCCCGGTGCCGTGATAAACACTGCCTGCCTGGCTTGGGAGCGGCCACATGGGAACATAAAGCAGAGATCAGGGGACTTTCTGCAGAGGGCCGGACAGCTGATGCTTCAGGCTTTCTGTGTTGCCCAGTGGTTGTCGCAACTGCTCAGCTCTGCTGCCGTAACCCACAAGCAGCACAGACGGTGTTCACTACCCGGGTGGGGCTGTGTGTCAGTAGAGCTCCTGGGGTTTGTCGGTGTTTCCCATGAGGGAGGCCCCGGAGCTAAGGCACTCACTGTACCAGGTGCTGTGCTGTTAGCATGACCAGAAATGCTGAGGGTGACCCTGCTCATCTGGCTCAGGGTGTCTGGTTTCCCCACCGTGAAGCTGCTCTCCCCTCCTCTCCTGCCCTGCACTTTCCGGGAGTGGCCGTGGGCAGCTCAAACAGACGGAGGGGCAGCCGGACTGCACCTTCTTCAGGGTGCAGTACCTTCACAAATCTGCACACATCGCTGGAATTCTTCTGCAGGAGAAATCCCTCTGTCCATTTCATGCGGTCAATCAATGATTTCACCAGAATGGACTCGTGGATGATTCGTTTGTACTTTGGGTTGTAGTCCAACAATGCCTTATTCGTTCTGTAATTCATTTTGTTCCAGCTTTGGCCAGCTGGCTCCTAATGTCCCTTCTTAAAAATTAAGTTTATTGGTGCCTTTTGGGTATGCATTATGATCACAGTTACCATGGGGAATTCATACCTGTACATGATATATCTTGGTTCCTTAATGTCCCTTGGACAGAACCCCACCATTGCAAAGTCTGCTGTTGTTCTCCCTGTTGTGATTAGCATGGGTTTTAATTACTTTCTTACTTTCTGGGTCTATCAGGTGCTCCAGCCTCAGTGTGCACATTTCTTGCTTGAGTCCTAGAAGCAACCACTTTTCCGAGGGTCTTTGGTTCCTCTTATTGGAGAGCTGGGTCCTGGGGCCCTGGGTGTGCCGACTGCTACTGAGGTGCCCCTTTTCCAAGCTGTCTCAGCTGCTGGGGGAAGGAGGTGCTTCGCCGCACACTAAGCCCGGTGTGTACCTATAAACATCCCCACATACTGTGGACCCTTGACTGATGAACTCGATCGGTTCCCAAGAGCTGGCTGTAACTAAGTCAATTCCACTGAGATCCAGATGTTGACCTGAGTATCATCTATAGGTAACCAGAGGCACATGCATCTTCCATTA